AGCAGACCTTGCACACACAGGAGCCGATACCAGCAGTTCTGCTAACAGCATTTGCAAATGCAGAATTACTAGGTTTAGGTAATTTAGGTATATGTCAGATGTGTTGCGATTTCCAGCCATGGCAAAGTCCTCTCCCTCGGAAGCACAAACTGACATCAGCTGTGTAAGCTAATGCTTGCCTTTTTTAAAAAAAAAGAAAAAAATAACTTACAATAATATTTTACTGATTGTTCCTTATTAATTACACCCCATGCTCTCATGTGCACTTCCCAATAAATTTTTCTTTGCTGTTTCTGATTATAACCCCCAAAAAAAGCAAAACACAGGCTATAAAATGAAAGAGTGGCAGACAGTACTGTGCAATGTTGTTAGAAGATACTCTGAATTTCCTAGAGGAAATTTCCTAGAGGAAATCCCCCAGCCAGGGGATGCTGCTGGGTGCCAAACTGGGGGCACGCCAGTGCGTGGTCTATGGCAAAGCCCATCAGACACCTCTCTTGCCTTTAAAAGTAGGGAAAATACAAAACAGGGGCGGGATGGAGCAGGTTTGTATTCAGGCTCCATCTCCACAATCTGATTTAGTGGGTTGAGCTTCTTCAGAGTTTTGGTAGCTTTGAGTGGGGAAAGGCTGGAGCATCATTCCCTACCTGCCCAAGATGCTCCTCAGGGTCTGAAGGAGCTCTTGAAAGAAACCTTTCCGTGCCAAACTGGCTAAGATGAAGAGACCCTGCGCAGTCTTTCCCGGGTCAGATGAAGCCATCTAAAATGTATTTCAAGGGCAATTTCTGCACTGACAGCTGCTAAAAGGCTGAGCTAAATCGCACACACAAGACACTTATTTTTCCTCCATTGACTATTAAGCGGGAGCATTTAGGACTGAGCTCAGAGCTTAAAGGGAGAGATGATGAATTCCACCTTTTAAAACCATCTGTGTCGGCCCAGTGTATCATTAACAGCTCAAGCAGGAAAAGAGCGACACAGATCGATCCTGCTATTAACATCAAGCCAGAACGTGACCCAAACGTGATCCTCAGATAATAGCTGTGCCCACAGCGGCGATGGATGGCAACACCACAGCCTCCTGTCCTCCTTCCCATGCCTCGGAAATACAGCTTGGGATTTATCAGCTCCTGGAATCACACTTCAAACATTGAATTGTGCACAATTTAATTCTATTACCCGGAATTGATTATAGGCTCCTATAAACACTAATCTCTTACACGGAGATTTCCAACGAGAGCTCCCTGACATCATCCAGGGCGATCTCTAGGTTCTTCCAGCCCATTCCTAAACCAAAGGTTGCTTTAGATTCATGTGCTGGGTACATGGGAATAACAGCCGTGTTCCTGCATCGCTCCCCTCGGTTGCTTCTCACCGTTATTACCCCGAGATCAATAATTTGATTTGTAGACTGGATTGCTCCCTGGCAACACGTGGCTTGAAACTACTCTTGCACATTTTCTCTGCCATTCGTGTCCAACTGAGGCCAGTATGAAGTGGCTCTTCTCACAGCCTAGGTAGGTATTCGTGTTTTGCCTGCCTTTAAGTAAATTAATTGCTATTAAATTTCTATGGGAGCGTTCAGCCAAGCACGTTGAGCACGTCAGCCAGGAGGAGAGAGAAGCAGCCAGGTCTGCTGTTCTCCATCAAGGAGCTCTATTGAATGAGACACTTGACCTTCTCACAGGCAGTTCTCACCACTGCAGTCTTCTCCTTGGACTAGCCAGCCTGGACCACCAAGTTGAATCACTCCATAATCGTCACAGTTATAGTCTTTGGAAAGAAGTTCAGGTGTGTTTCTTAGTCAGATGTTTGAGAGGTGAAATTTTGTCCAAACATAGGGTCTCCTTTGCCCAGCTGCACCTAAAGCATCCAAGCTGCAGGTCCAGGACTCCCTCTGAAGGTTAGCAACACCCCAGCACACCTAGTAGGCAATTTATTGATGTTTTTATAAGATAAAGGGCTTGAAATGCTCTGTCAGCTGCAGAACAGGGGAGGTGGGTGTTTGGTCTTTTGGATTATAACCCCCTTGAAAAGCTGTCAGACTCTACTCGTCATTTTACGACTATTTTTTATCAGCTTTTTGTAGCTGCATCTTTCCAGCAAGGAGCAGCTCTGGGTTAGATATGCAGCAACAGAGGTAACAGAACAAAATGCTACACGCACAAATATTCAGCAACGTTCTTTTTTCTTACAGACTCCATCCCCTGCTATCTCTTTTCATATGCTACTTTAACATGTCTTTCTCCTTCAGAAGAAGCACATAGGAAAGGGATATTTTAAAGTCAAATGACTCGATGAAATGGAAGAGGACAACAGACTCAGATGCAGAGAGTGAGGAGGAGGAGGAGGAGGTGCTTTGTGTTCCTGGGATTTGGAAGAGGAAGGGCAAGGATCAGGCAGGGGAGGCAGGGTTGGGTTTAAACTCTGCAAAGGTTTTTGGCACAGGGTCACAGCAGAGCCCTGGGGGTGGGTCAACAATTCGATCCCAAGATCAAGTCTGATCCAAGGATCGGACACGTCTGCAGCACAATCCTCCCTCTCTGGCAGGAACAACCAACATGAGGCAGGTTCCTTGACACGGTTTCCAGGCTGGCTTTTTAGTACAGCTGGTTTTCCCACAGAAAGATGGCAAATTCAGGACAAATAAGCGTTTCTGAAGACTTCAGTGAAATTCTATTAAATTATTTAGGGGGCATCTTAAAATAAATAAAAGAAGAAAAACCCCAAACAACTAGCTAGTCGAGATTTACCTGTTTTCAGCTGAAAATCCATTCCGCATTTTCTGTTCATTTTCCGTTTGGCATTTCATTTCCACCCCAATTGAAAGTTATACTTAGTTCTGTCCTGCCGGTGCTTTTGCTGGATGAGTGCGCCCCGTTCCTGGCTGGCTCGGCGCAGCTCCCTGGAAGACTCCAGGTGATGGAGGGTATATTTGTAGCTCTGCCCCAAGCTGTGTAATAGAGCAAAACCCATCTTTGATGAAAGAAAGGTAACAGCAGCCTCCTGGGAGTTGATCCTTGCTTGCATGATCTCAACAGGCCCTTGCTGACTGCTATTTTATTGCTGTGGACCACAGCAACCGTCACAATTAAAAATCATTGCTCCAATCACCGTCACAGCCACGCAGCTCCAGTGCAAAATTTCACGTCTGATATTAGAAAGCGTTTTGCCAGCCGTGGGGGTGGCGGCGAGATCCAGACTGTGACCCCAAGCCTGTGGACATTGGAGCTGGTGAAACCCACAAGCATTATCCAGCAAAAGTTAAGACAGGAGAAAAATGAAGGGGAAGTGGGGACATGCAGGATGGTGCCTCATGTCCCCAGTGATTTCCATTAAACCATCCACTAAATCCAGGTGCCTCCCTTTAAACCGGCCTCTGGTGTGTTCGTTCAGAAGATCCACCCAATTGCAAAAGTCCAGCTCTTAGAAAACTTTCATGGAAGCTTACTTTGGATGTTTCCTCCCTCCTGCAGGAGCCAGAAGGACTTTGGATGCTTTATGGGACCAGGTGTTTGTCACCTCTGTTGCGGAACAGGAACGGTACCGGATTTGTGCTTCTGGTTTGAGGCAGAGCAGAGCCTCCACCGCAGGGATGGTGGACAGTCACGGTCCCAACAGCCAGAAGCACAACATAACCACCTTCGATGTCCTGAGCCCAAGGGAGAAATATTTTGCTCGAGTAATTTTATGTGGCCTTTATATAGAAGCCCTAAGGAGTCAGTCAGAAAACTTCCTTACTGCAGAGGGTGACTTGACTTCTCGCATTAGGGCTGCAGAAAGGGCACCTGACAGGCACCTCAGCTCGAATATGGATTTTATGTACGTAGATGGAAAGAATCTGTTCATAAACGGATGAGGGGTGACCTCATTAATGTTTATAAATAAGTCAAGGGGCAGTGTCAGGAGGACGGAGCCAGGCTCTTTCCAGTGACACCCAACGACAGCACAACAGGCAATGGGTACAAGCTGGAGCACAGGAGGTTCCACAAAAATATTAGGACAAACTTTTTCACTGTGCGGGTGACAGAGCACTGGCCCAGGCTGCCCAGGGAGGTTGTGGAGTCTCCTTCCTTGGAGACTTTCAAAACCCGCCTGGACGTGTTGCTGTGTGACCTACTGTAGGGGATACTGCTCTGGCAGGGGTTGGACTGGATGATCTTTCGAGGTTCCTTCCAACCCCGAACATTCTGTGATTCTGTGATAACCGGTAAATATGACTGCCTTCTCACTTGTAGGCAGAAGTCTGTTGACTTTAATTCTAAAAATTGCAAAGAAGCCCCTCACTATGAAACAAAGAATCGTTCACATTTTATTTAAAAAACAAATGTCACATAAAACATTAGAGATTTTTCAAGTTCCAAGCACTTTCTGGTCCCTGCTGAGGCAGAGATCGGGAAAGAACGTTTGCACAGTCTGGGATGGCTCGTTTTTGCACACTCAACCTTCCTAATTCAGCTTCTGTCCTTGTTTTATCTCCCTGCCTGTATCAGCCCGCTCTCTGCCACTGTAACAGCCACAGATGTTGAAAATGCAGCTGAACACCAGCCCCACTGGGCTATTTTCCTCTCACTCCCATTTCCTTGAGCTTCTTTCTCTTACAAAGTGCAGCAGGCAGAAGGAACAGTCCCAAAGCCATGACTTTGCCTCTCTAAACTGACAGCACACCTCTGGGTGTCGTTTATCTTCCCCAGGATGATGAATGTGTATTCAGCACCAAATATTACAACTACTGAGGCACACAGCTACACAAGGCCGTGCTTCTAGTAACAGGGTCATTATTACTAGTTTTGCTATCAAGCTTTATCCCAGTAACTTGCAAAAGATCGGGAGCGTGGATTCAACATTTCCCTCAAGAATCGCTAATAAAATACTTTCTAAAAGACTATTTGCAGCAAGGCACTCTTTTGGCTGGTGCTCTTTGAGCACAGCAGAAAACGTCTCGGTACAGAGGTGCCTGATGTTTTCAGAAAACAGAGGCTGAGAAGGCACCACGTTATTTAGCTTTGCTTGAACGCAAAAGCTGACAGTCTGCCGTTTGTAGACTGGTCTAAGGGCTTTGGTTTTTTGGATGCATTTGAGTCCTCCTGAGTTTTTTGCTCCTGGTCTTTTTTCGCTTCATCTTCATCAACCATGGGACGCTTTCGCTTTTTATCTTCTGCTGAATCTGTTCCTCCCTTTGCTTTCTCAGTCCATGCCTTTGAAGAAAGGACATCAGTAAGCAGCAAACTACAAATTAGGCCACAAAACTCAGCGCTTTATTTTATACACGTTATTTCTTTGATTCTAAGGAGGGCCTAAATAATTCTTGTTAAGAACTAATAAGAATCAAGTTAGGAACAATTTCCTCACTTTCCTTTTTTCTAACAACATTCTCCTTCAAAACTACATCTGGTTTGAGCCTGCATATGAAATTGAAGATCTTAATCATCTTTCTAGACAAATAAGAAACCCAAAAGGCCACAGGACAAAGTTAAGCCTCAACGAGTTAAGCCTGGCTGTCACTTTTAACTCCTTCCCTTCTCTTTTGCTATTTCTTCATTGATTACATTTCTCTCGCATTCCCTGCTTTGGAAAAGCTGCTTTCTGCTATTAGTTGTGATTCAGACAGTTTATATTTTCAACAATATATGTTGTAGGACATGGCCCAATTCCATACTGAAGTCCATGAAGATGGAGAACAGTGAAATTTAAAGAAAAAATTCCTAACTCAAAATAACCAAGGGATTCAGTGAGGGGAAAAAAACCTAGAGAAAATGGAATTAGATAATGTTTACTTACCATTCTTTCTTCTGATGACAGCATTCTAAATCGACTCATGCCTTCTTTTATTACTTCTGCTTCATTCAGATCAGGATTATCTGTCAAAATGTTTGTTCTGTTCTCTTCTAGCCACATTTGGAATCCTGTCTTTGGTCTAAAACAAGCACAGAGAAATTGTCTAAGAAGGTTACAGGAAAACCCTATCCCCCAAAACAACATTTCCAAACAACATCTAACTGGATTTTTTTGCTCTTGAAAGAAAAGACAAATACAGTCAGCAGTCTGCCTTCTCCTGCTGCAGTACGCTCCAAGAACATGCTGACAAGGCAAGACTAAGTCGAGCAGTTTTATTAAAACTGTGATATATATGGAGATTAACATTTCAGTTTTAGAAAGAAAAAGCATAATGCTTCTCTTCCTTTCTGATAGGGTCCCATCAACCTGAAAATAGAGCCCATATATTAGCACGTTTCAGCTAATCCTTTTCACAAATCTCCTTGCCACTTGTTTTAGAACTTTATCTGTAAAGGTTAATGAAAGGAATGCTAGTCCAAGTGAACAATAATTACTGTCATCTTCCTCAGTTATCAGAAGTCTAAACGAAACACGATTATAATAATGCAAGTACCATGAGGACTGGGATTGTTAGAAAATACAGAGGAACAAGACAGATTAGTCTCCGCTAGGAAGAGACGTGCTCCTTAGGTGATACAAGTTTTCTGTTTCTGGTGTTTGGATTTGTTTTTTTTAAACATGCTAAAACAAACCTTTTACACTTTCATGTTAACCTCTTAGCTTTCAGACTTCCTTTGAGATTTTCTCGAGATGTTTAAACTTTAAGTACTTAAGCCTGGCACAGCAGCACGGTTTCATTGATCATCCAAAGCTCATTAGCGGAGACGTAAGTAGTATCAAGGCCAAAATCATTGCTTAGAGCCCCAAAATTACACTTTGCGCCGTTCAATTATTATTCACTCATACGTGTATTTGTCTCGGGCTGATGTGCAACTTCTGCTTTGAATAACACTGCCGTGCACCGTGGGAAATGAACAGAATGCTTTTCTCTCTTCTTTCACTGCGATTGCACTGTGGCAATTCGGAAATCCAACCGACGTGGCTTAGGCAGCTTGGATTGATAATACCATAGGATAAGAAGCAGTTTATTAAATTTCTGAAGCGGGTTTACAAGCGTTACAACTCATGAGCTAACACTTTAATCTTGCTACTTCAGGCAGTCCAACATCTTCAAAAACAAAATAGTTTTTGGACTTGCTATTCTGTCAAAATCAGAATACAGCGTTGAGATGCAAATGTCCACTCACCTTCTGTTTTCAGTGCTCTCCTGTGCGGTGACTTTGACTTCATGGGACTTGTTTCCTGCTTTTTCTTCTCTGTCTTCCACTGTTTTTTCACTAGAGTTAGGTGTACGAACCTGGAAGAAGGAGGCTGCTGAAGCCTACAGAAAATGAGGTTAAAAAAATAAATGAAAGGTAAGAACACCTCACTCTGACAACACATATCATGTAGTCTAACAAAGCCCAAGCTTTTCCTAAAGACATAATAATAATTTGCATTAATACAGCACCTAATCCGCCCAATTTCAGCACAGCAGACTTTAAGTTAGCATTATTTAAAATAAAAGCACACGATTCAGTGAAGAATGTAATTTCAACAACTGCATTTTTTTTTGCTGGTTTATGTGCTTTTTTAAATTCTGCAGTGTGCTTAAATGAACTTTGCCATCTAAGACATTTTACTCAATCAAGAGGGTTTCATACTTGATAAAAACAGTAAAATTCAATGTATTGTTCTTTACTCATTGAAAAAACGTAAAAAGACTAAAAACATTACCTGCTTGGATTTGGGTTTGGGAATCAGAGGTTTTATAACTGGAGAGTTCTGCTTGTTCACAGCTCGACTGCTGGACAAAGAAGTTTTCTTCGAGTATTTGTTCATACTGTCTAGAACATTTCCTGAAGGGACCACCGGGTCCTTTTTGTTTGATGACACCTAGTGAAACAAATAAATAGGCATCTTACTTATTTTCTGTCATGTTCCCTTCCTCTTGTCCCTCCAAGATATCTGTCATAGTTATATTGTAAATTTTAGATGTAATAACCTGTCGTGGTTTTCAGAACCAAACCAGCTGCAAAATTCTTACCTTAAAGGGATTTACTCGTCCTTGGCTGCTTGATGCAATTACAACTATTTAATTGGAAAGAAAAAAGAATGTAAAAATCTGTGCCTGTGCACACGCACACACCCACACATCCACATAAAAAACTATGAAGCAACGTGCACATTTTAGATGAGCAGATGAAACAACATTAACCTCATTTCCAACGAACAAGGCTAACACTCATTGTGTGTGTTTCAGCCTCTGGTCATAGAAAATTGAAGAGGAGAACTAAATCAAAGGCACCTACACCAAAGAAAACAACGTCCCACCAGGCTTGGAAGTGGTTGGATAAAGAGAAAGACACTTCAACAACTCCATGAAAATTATACCATATGCGCTTAGCTGTTATTAGTCATCAGAAATGCCACACAGGACCAAAAGCTTAAAATACGAATCCACAGGAAGACCCAGTACTTCCTCCACTCCCAAATCCGTTTCCACTCCTATTATTCTTGCTAGAGGGCTGGCAGGAGGGAGGAAGCAAGCGGCAGCACGAGGCCGCAGTCTGCCCCTGCCTGCTCCGACTCACAGCTCTGCGGCAGGGTTACCGACTCTGCCTTCCAAGTGCAACTCACAAACCTGCCTGTGATTAGACAAACGAATCTACTGTTGTTCTCATTTTTCCCCTGTCCCAGAGAATGCCTTCATGCTGGAGCGAGGCAAGCAACTGATTCAGCATTTGGCACAGCTACAGCAATTAGAAGAGTGTTGTGGAGCAGCATAAGGTAACGGAGACATCAACGGGAATAGGGAATCTCTTAAAAATGTCAGCACAAGTTACCACTTGTCAACACTGTTATGCACTAAATCTTACAAGTAATGGCAGAACGGAGGGTAAAAACAGAAGCATGACAAAGTTCTCATCCTGGAAAAAATGGATGTTTACTTACCAGACTTGGGAGTAGTCACCTCTGCTGAAGTGACACCTTTGGAGAAAGGATTTGGCCCTTCAGAAAAAAAAAAGAGAGGTATGTATTTAAGTGCAGTAAGATGTACCAGAATAACATCTTTAAAAACAAAACCCCAAACAGACTAGCAAGTTAAAATGATCTATATTTTTAAGCATGACCTTTCAAACTGTATGTATGCTTTTACAAAACCATTTATTATCCCTGCCTAGCTTTAACAGAGTTGTATACTGATCCCTTAAAACTTAAATTTATTCCTTAAAGTGTGACCGGCAGTTCAACTCCTACAAGATTTGAGCTGAAACCAAAGAAACCGTTTTGCAAAAGAAAAACTCCCCAAGGATCCCTCAAATAGTTACTAAGGACGACATTGAAGCAACCTGCGGCAGACTAGGTTACTCTAAACTTAGCTGCTTACGCTCAACTTGTTACTCTGCAGCGGCTGCAGGCACAGGCTAGAACACGCACCTGCTCAGGTGGGCACTACCAGTCCTCACCCACAGGGAATTCCAGGTAACGGGGAGCTCAGAGGCAGGAGTTCCTCTATGTCATTCTGTTACTCTTGGGCATTTTTTCACAAGTCAACACCCAAATAAGACATATGACAAACGACCAGACCTGTTCTAACCAGGTAACAGAAAAGCCCAGTCTCTGCTGAACGGCAGTTTCAAACCTCAGTGAAACAAATGGGATTATTTACACAAACGGCTTCTAAATCAAACCCCCCTGTCCCTCACTTGTGGTGCGCTGTGACAGCTGCGGTGTCTTTCCTAAATTTTATGTCAAAACAAAACCATAGACAGAAATGTTCAATGTTTCCTTAGTCCTATAGATTGACAAGTTATCCAAACAACAAATTATCTGAGAATTCTCCAGAATTCCTTGTTCAGTCCCCAAAAGGAACATCTTGCTAACTTCCAGCCTATTCAGAGAATATATCTTTCTTACTCTGTTTGGGCACTTCTGGTGCGTCTTCCTCTTCCTCACAGGCATCAGCTTCCTCAGCATCTTCCATTTCTTGGTCCTGGTGAACATTTCTGACCGGCAGCCGACTCCACGCCGTGGCAGAGTTGCTGTAACTAGATGGAAGGAATTCATCAGAAAGGAAGTGGCCACCACATTCAGAAGGAAAGCTGGAACAACAGAGAGCTAACTTACTTGCATAATTTAGGAAACAGCAATAACATCTGGCATTTATTTGCATTATACCTCTGATTAAACTCTGACGATTACTAAAAATAAAGATTCATTAACCACTTCAGATCACCCTGAAATGCCAAGTGCCATGACCTGAAGTGGTACTCATGCTCTTTTAAGAAAGACCACACAGGGCTGTCAAACTGCCCGAAACTCACGCTTAAGGTAAAAGTACAAGCACCAGCATCCAAACAGCTCCGCACACAACCTTCCACACCTTTGACCTCTCGACATCTTTTTCAGAGAGCACGACATTGTCGCTGTCGTTTGCCAGAACACTTTGCTGCGAACAAATGCAAGCACGGAACATCTTCCGTGATCTCCATTAAAACAGGTGTACCTCTACTATCACAGGCAATGCCAGATTACTACTTTTCTGCATACATGAATAAATACACAGGTGGCGATGTGAATGCGTATTTTCAGTCTGAAGCTTAGGCAGCAAGTTTTCATGTTTAATCTGACGATTCTCTAAACTCCCAATAGTAGTACGTACATTTCTTGCATCTCCCTCCCAAACTTTGCTGACTATTAAAATCTACACGCACACCAAAGGTTCATTTATTTCAGCCAGAATAAGAATGATTAATCAGGCACCAATATAGTGTTTGTGATGAATTTTAATCCTCACAGTGGCTGAAGTCGCAGACATGGGATTACAGCTTCCATTCACGATCCAGAAGAACAGGGGAGAGCATTTAGACGTGAGTTTTGAATGTGCAGTTTCACACAGAAGAATACGGGAAAGGCTACAGAAACGACTTTGTCTTGCCTAAATAAGTTCCAAATTTCATACATAAAATTGCAATAGGAAGAAATCGCTCCTGACAAAATGTCAATGGCATTTTGTCTGTGTTGTCAGGCTAGGGGTTAGCAACTATTCTCTGTACCATCCACAGCTGTTCTGTACGGTCTTGTGTTTTTAAAAAAAAAAACAACAAACCCACACATCTTTTGCCACATCAACTAGATGCAGGTAGGAGAGCAAAGGTAAACAGCACAGATACAAAAGGGGGGGGTAAAAAGAAAAGCAAAACAAACCTATAGAATTTCAGTAGCTTTGAAAAGGTGGGATTAGTTAGGAGGGAATAAGACTAAACAGGATACACTGAGATAGGTTACTGAAAGAGAGGAGGGCTGGAGAAAGACAGAAAGACCTTAAGATAGGTGTGGAATGAAGTGAGACCCAGAGTGTGAGGCAAAGAGAAGACAGGTTGGAGTAAATAACAACAGCAAAATCCAATCCGAGCAACTTGGTACTGAGTCTGCTTTGCCTCTGAAGCTGCTGACCACAGACACACAGTAAGTAAGGAGTGGGGATACTTCCCTTTGTGTTAGTATCCTGGTACCAACGAGTCCTCACAAAATACCAATGAGAATGTACCATTTTATAGGTGTAAGTGCCATTTTAGAGGTGTAATTTCTAAGTTGAGCTATGGGAATTGTTGCTTCATAACAGATACACTGCAAACTAGAGTCCACGTAACTGAATCAACAGGACCAAAATGTTAACAGAGCAGTAAAAAAGACCCCAGGTTTTTAATCACAGAAATTTGTGTTACCCAGCATTCAAGTGCTTTCGGAAATCCTCTTCCTCCTCGTCTTCTTCCGTTGCTGTTGCCAACTCACTCGCTTTTTCTACAGCCATTTCACTAAGTCGCTGAGCTAAATTTAGCCTCCGCGAGCGAGAAGCGTACTTGATAGCTAAATTCACAACGTTTTGTGTCATGAGGTCAGCAAGTTCCACACAGCGAAATTCACGCTCCAGTTTACAAGAAAGCTGAAAGAGAAGAAGCCTTCAGAGTTCCACACTTCACAGCTACACGGCTCTCTTAAGACTCTAGGACCAGAATATTAAGGTCTTGGGGCGACCAAATAAAGACAAACCACCAATGATCTCGGGCTGTATAGTAATTAAAACCTCTTTTTAACAAAAAAAATTTCCTCCCACCCTTCGGAGGATAAGCAATACCAATATTAACTGCAGTCCATCTCTTATCATAATCTGTGAATTAGCTGGATTGCCAATCACCAGCTAGACTTCTAAGAGGAACCACATCAAAATTTACATCAAACTCCATCTATTCAAAATAAAGCCCCGGGGATCCTTCCCAATTTTTATTTATTTGTACTTACGGCAAAGAGCTTCATTAAAAGTTCTTGCTGTTCCTTCACTGCCTGATTTTTAGCATTTTCATCAAGTTCATATCCACTTTTTGACAAGTAATCCACATGGTTGTGAAATACAACCGAACGCCAGTACTGCTCCTGAAAAAGGGAGAAACATGCGTGCTGGAGGTCAGAGTGGGGAAAAAAATCAGCACACAACTTAGTGCCAAATGATTCAAACCGAATTTCATCAACTTATTCTTAAACGCTCCTTTCATCTTATTACGTCACCCTCACGAAAAGGTAGAAAAATCCCTCTAAAAGCCAATGCCTAGAGAGGCAAAAATAGGCCACACTAACAAGCAACCGCACACAAGTAACTCAGTGACTGTAGGAGGAATCATCATCTGTGAGATACGTAAACAGAAAATATAAGTCTTGTTGTTCATGGAAATACTAGTATGGCTATTAGACCAAGCTAGCTCTGTTGTAAAACCATTATAATTTATTCAAACTCAGTATGTTTTCATCAGGTGTATTAGATAATCTTTTCTTTACCTACTTAGAAGTACATATTCCTTCCAGCCAAATTAAGTTCCTGGCATTTTCCTTTTGTTATTTTGCAGGAACGTGTGTGGAAGACACATCAAATAAAGAACAAAAAAAGACTTGACCTGAATGAAGGAGAATCCATTAAAAATGACAAAGTGTTTATTATGGAAGCTTTTTATCTACACTTTTATCAACGAGAATAAATTTCAAATAGCATTAAGCTATCTCTAAGGTTGAGGTTAGAATTTTATGTTCATTTCTACTTTGTGCAGTACACCATGAGACTGAAATATTTAAACCCATAGAAAATTGAAGAGCAAATACAGATATTCTTCTAGAAAATACCTTAAGAAAATAAGTCAGGCCTGAAGGCCTACATTTTCAGATTGATTAGAGGAATTGGAGCACTTAATGCCAAAAAAGATCTTCCTGAAATTTTGTTATGCCTAAAATATTAAAAAACAGGCACGTTCAAGAGGGTCTTGATTCGGATCCCAAGACATGGTGCTTTCTAGAACACTAATCACTACCCACTAAAAAATAAGAAGAGAGAATGATAGAAAGACTGCATCGGTCAGCAAAAAATTACGTGCAAATATAACCTTGCATCGGCTCTAACAGCTTTATTTTGTGTTCTTCTAAAACCACTTGTGAACCAAAGCACACCACAAAGTCATACAAAACACTGAACCCAAATAACCCCCTTAGCCACACGTCTTAAGAGTTCGTGCCACCCTCTTTTCTCGTCCAGATGATTAATAGGAATCTCGTATAATCCCTCCTGTGGGGACATCAGAGACTCTCCGCTGTGGACTCAACACCATTCCGTACCTCCATCTGTCCCTTTTCTGTCGCAACTTGACAGTAAGGAAGTTTAAAAGATAATATCGCTACGGCAGGCCGTGGCAGCGTAGGAGGGAATCGGGCTCCTTTGCAAGGAATACACCTGTGCAAGGGAAACAAAAGCCACACACAGTCCTCGTCACCTACAGTCACCAGTTGTTCTCTATCTAAATCATGTCTCCTAAGAAGTGAGATACTTTAAGAGGATTTGTTCCTTCAAAAGAAGTAATTAAATTACTGACTTAAATATAGCAATATGTAAGATTGCATTACAAAAGGGTTATTTTTCCATGGCAAAGCAATAAAAGATTTTAAAACCAGCAAAGCTGCTCTCGTTCACACTGGAAACGCCAAAAGTGGCACAGAGCAGGCACAGATCTCTGTCACACAACACACGATTTAACACCTACTAGAAAACTTCAATGCAGTTTATTAAAATCAGAAAGTACTGAACAATTAAAACCCACTGGAACAAGAGCAGGCACGTCTACCATTTATTTTGAGGAGGGGCCTTTGACTTCATGAGGAGAGTGCTGTATCCAGGCACACACAGAGGGTAAAAAAAACCCCAAAACAAGAGGCGTGAAACAGATAAACGCTAACTAAAGTGTAGGCTTATAATTTCATTATATTTAAACTAACACTTTCTGGTAACAATTGCTTAAGCAAAACATTGATTAGGGAAGAGCTGTATTTCCAGCAGCACCAGTACAATATTGACAGAAATGTCTGGTTTTATAAGCTACCCTGTCAGACACCAGGGAAAAAAAAAAAAAAGAACAGGAAGCATTAGCGTCCTGGCTATCTGTGTTAATTAAGGCATATGGGTCTTCTACAACAACCCTCCCCCATTTCTTATCTTTAATATGCTAGTGGCTTTGAATAAAATGTCCTTCTCTCAGAGAGCAGCACTCTCTTCCTTGGAGTAGAAGGAAAAAACCACACAATGGCAGACTCACAGTGGACTGTCCCGTCCCCTGAACATTTTTGGTGCATTTTCTGGTGGCCCACATTACTCAGGGATTTGCAGGAAGAAACAGACCGTGAATTGACATCTACCAGCGAGATCAAATTATTTCCCTTATCGCAAAAGAAAAAGAGGATTACAGACGTCATGTAAATTTAAAATCCCACCAACCTCTACAATTGTGTGTGACCAGCAAAGTAATAAGAGTCTGAATTTCCGTAAAATATGGTGAGTTGATGGAGTCTGGCCAGGTGGGAAAAGAACATAGATCACTGAATAAAGAGGACTACAAACAAAACTTAACAACCAAGTGTCCAGGGTGCATGTGTTACAATAAAGGGAGCCTTATTTAGGTATCACTGGTATCACATTTTACAAAGTAATGGCCAACACTCAGCTACCTACTTGAGCAATTTTACTTACAAAATTGTACTTCATAGCCACAGTTTAAATAATAATATAATAACAGACAGTACTGGTTTATGATGTAGATTAGTTACAGGATTGTATTCTTCTCAAAAGGGACAAAAATGGAAAATATAACAAAAAAATGATAAAAAAACCTGGAAGCCCCCAAACCCATCAACAGCAGAAGCAGATTCCTAACAGCAAGCATAACTTTTTAGTAGGTTTCTCTGCGACTGTGTCTGCATCAAAGATGTGTGATTTCATAATAAAGTGCACACTCCTGCTAGCCAGGGCAAAAAGCCATAAATAGTCATTTAAAATTATAAAACTCTAATGAGTTGACTCAAAATCAATTCAGTAATGAGACAGACATTCATGCAGAATTACATTTACAAACTATGTAAGTTACCGTGCATATAGCATATAATCATGGAATGTCTTAGGTTGGAAGGGACC